AAACCACTTCAGACTCAGTCCTTGCTAGGCCAACTGGCCAAAACAGAGGGTTGGAAGACTTTGAGAATGGTGGTCTTCTGTAGATCTTTACATGCAAACCACAAACATAAACTGGCCAAGGACATTCCAGTATGTGCTCAGATCATGCTTCAGCCCCAGCCATTTTTTTCCTCTGTATCTTTTTGCAGAAAACCATTGGTGAGATCCTTGCTTCAATGGAGATCTTCAGTAGATTTGAAACAATATTGGAGGTAAGCATGTGTCTGCTGCAGGAAGGTGTGGCATTGCTGCTGGTTTTGTGGGGTTTTTGGATACCATTTTAATACTTCTCAGTTTGGCTTTCTTTCTGGATGCTTTTTTTCAGTATGATTTCTTTGTGTATTTTACATAAGCAAATGTAATAGAAAGGACTGGAGTTTTCACGTCTCTACGGGATTTGACACAAGCAGCAAGCACACAAGCCTCTTTCCCATCTGCTTCATCACCTTCCTTTCACCTCTACCCTGAAGAGTTTATTCTCCAAAGCATGTTTAGTTCTTGACCCCTGTCAGGACAAAGAATGAAGGTTTCATAACTGACCATGCCAAGCTAGATTGTAGCTACCTGTTTTTGGGATGTAGAACTTTAAATAAAATCAGTCCTTGGGATGTAAACTCTTGAGGCTGATGCCCAGGATTCGTTTAGTTAATATTTTAAGTAGGATTAGACTGATTTTCCTTTTATCTCCATCAGAGTCATCTGGATCTGTTCTGACATTGCTCACAGCAATCTTCTGCTGCCTGTTTACAGCTCTGTGCCTGTTAGTTGTTTACAAAATTCACCAATTGCAAGTATGATTATAGAATTGATTATTTTTTTCTTCAGGTAAAAAGGCCCAGTTTTGGCTCTGTATGTGTACTCATGTTTAAAGCACACAGGGAGCATTAGCCCAGTGCTCCCTTATTCACATTAGCTGCATTCACACCAGTGACGTCATTCTCCAAGCTTTGCTTTTGTGGCATTTTGCCTCTGTTATACTACATACCTATCCTGGGTGTCTGGTTGCCTCTTACATACGTTTGCTTTTCAATAGCTTTGCCTCCAGTCAGTTGCTGAGAGTTTCTCCTCCCTATCTGATAGACCCCCCTCTATCAAACTTGTTCTAGAGTTGAAATATTTTGATTTCAGCAATGAAATCTTGTACTGTTTTTGCAGAACTGTGGCTTGCCTGCAATACTGGATGGACCAGGCCCCTTTACTGTGTTTGTACCCAGCAATGAAGGTGTGGATAATTTGAGAGATGGAAGGCTCATTTATCTTTTCACAGAGGTGAGAGCTCATAGTGCATAAAGACATCCTGAGCTGGCTGTGCTGTAATGGCTTGTGAAATGTGTCTGATCACTGCTCAAAATTTTTCTTCCTGGAGATGGCTAAACCATGTCTCTTTTTCTGTGAGGCTGTGGGAGAGAAGTGAATGCTGATGGAACCTGCAGTGGGAAATGTGGTTAGCCCCATTGTTTAAAATCTCAAGTCTGGTGTTCTTTCCTCACCCTGGCTTTGGGTAGGGGGAAATGAAGGAATTTGTTTGCCAAGTGAACTCTACTCTTGTACATTGGCATTGTCAGTTGTTGGTTAAAAGAAAATGTAGTTGCCTCCTGTTACTCCTGAACATTGAAGGGTTATCTAATTGTTATGTTCTTTTCCTTCCTTAGGGCATAAATAAGCTTCAGGAACTTGTGAAACATCATATCTACACTTCAGCAGCGGTAAGACAGGCAGCCCCACTTCCAGATAACTGGGGTGCATCGGGCCAGCATTGTTGTCAGCTGGGTTGTTTGGCATAGAGGTTGGAGTGTAGATGAATCCAGCTGCTACTTCTTGGACTTCCCCTGGAGGAGCAGGGATGTGATTTGGGATCTGATGAGGCAAAATATTTACTGTGAAAGTGATGGCCAAAAGGAGCAGCTTGTGCTCTTCCATCGTGGTGGCCTTTACAATAAAGACATTGTCCAGCCAAGCTTGCTACAGTCAAATGCTCTCTTGTTTATCACTTTAGTATGTTAAATTATTAATTTGGAATGTACCTGAATTATGAACTCTCCAGGCTACAGTTTACCTAAAAGACTAATAACAGCAACACAAAAGTTTCTGCTTTTAGGAATAAGTTTATTTATTAAGTGAAAACATGTTCTCTCTTATGCTTCTGGCTGAGCTTTCATTGCTTATTGAATATGTTCTGGAAAATCACCTTATTCATCTGACCCTACTTGCAGCTGTATTATTTGGAGACCCTGTAAGTGAGACTTGATTTCAGCTGTGCTGGACCATTGCTTGCACAAGGAATGAAAACCAAAGCAGCTGCCCCCAGCACTGCTGTGTGCTTGATATTGCAAACAATCCACACAAAGCCTTGAATATCCCCCTCATTTGTTTGTGTTTAAGGTATTATTTGAAATGTAAATGTTAATGTCAGGTTTCCTTTAGAAGGCTTTTAGATGACAGAAATCATGGAAGGATTCTGTAAGCTGTACTGAAATGACCCTGCTCTTTCATGGTACTGTCCCTTGTGTTTTTCTTTCAGCTTACTGTAGAGAAACTGATAATGATGCCACACATTGTTACCATGGCTAACCAGATACTGACCATCAACATCAGTGCAGATGTAAGTATGAATCAAAACCCTTTGGGGCAAACCCTTCATGCTGGGATGTGGTTCTGAACAATGTGGTTTCAGCTCATCTCTGCTTCCTCTTCTGCTTTAAAAAAAATAGATTTAATGAGGTCATTGAATTAGTTTGCTAACCTGTGACTCCACTAGAGGCTTGGCCGTTTGTGTGGTTGCACTTGATGTTGTGTCCCATCTGTTTCCTTCATTGTGTTGATACAGTCTAATGGTCTAAAATGCAGCTAAATTATTTGTGTTTCTGCATCAGGGAAGGATTCTGATGGATGAATCAGGGGTCCCCTTAAAGATGCGAGACATTGTGGCATCAAATGGCATCATTCATACCTTGGACGGCATCTTCATCCCTCCTTCAATAATTCCCATCTTGCCTCACAGATGCAATGAAGAGCAACATGAAATTGTGACAGTAAGTCACCTTCTCCCATTCTCACATGAGCGGTTGCTACAGACCCCACACTTGGCTGGAGGGACAAGAGCAGGCTGTGTAATTTGCATCTGGGAAACTTTTTCTCCCCTCAAAGGGGATCACATCCCCTGATGTGAATTTATGCAGTATCAGCACTGTCCATGTTTCTTCTACTGGCACTTGGCATGTGTTCCCTGGCAATCAGCAAGTGTTCACTGTAGGTGGTTGTTCTTTCCTTGCACACATCCTACCTTTGATTCAGAAGTACATTTGCCTTTTCATAAGGCCTTGCACAATTGTTTTCACACAGGTGCTAATACAGCTGACAGTGCTTTGTTCCCATTGCTGTCAGCAGTGGTGTCCTGTAGGCTGGACAGGAAGGCATCACTCAGTAGCAGGAGCTACAAATGTGCCATATTCTCACCTGAGCAGTTTTGTATATCTTATTTAAGGTGCCTGCTCCCCAGTTTCATCATTAGTAGGATACTGAATAGGCAAGAGATGCCTGATTTGGAGAGAGGCAATTAATCCCAAGTGGCCAGAAGGTCCACACAACTTGCTGATTTGAAGAGGCCTGCTACATGGATTCTCAAAGTGTTTTCCAGCATAGCTGCATGAGAGTGGCTGATAGACTCACAAGGTGGAGATAGACCCCATCCTGGAGCCAGATGCAAGCATCTCCTTGAGACAAAGGAGTACTTTTATTTAAGTGATAAACTTACCCCATTTCAAGTGTGGAAGCTCCCTCCTAGGAAGGATACGTGTTGTGATGTTTGGGATTTTATACTGGCAGCAGTAGCTTTATAGTATTCTTGGCCATGGAAATTGGGTTCCTTTGAGAAGATTAAGTTTTTTCCCTCTTGTTTTTCTAACAGGGTTCTTGTGTGGATTGTGAGGCCCTCAACAGCAGTGTTTGCCCACCTGGCAGCAGAGAAATGGTAAATATTTGTGGTTATTTTGGTAATCTCTTCTTTGCGTGATGGCATAAGCACACACTGATAGACAGTTTCTAACCCAAGATGCTTTCAAATAGAGAGCAGGAAAACAGCAGAGAGGCTTATTAGAGGATACCTACTCCCCACATATCCGTGCTCTGTGACCCCAGACTACCACCTCCACACCCACCAACTGCTCTGTTCTGTTTCTTTTTCTGAAGACTTCGCTGTATCAATGGAGGGAGCTGTAAGACAGTCTGGGCTAAATAAAATGGTGGACTTGCAGCTTTTAGCACTTCTGTTCTGCCTCAGGCAGAGCTTTCCTGCTCACTTGCTGAGTCTGTCAGCTCCTGCAGACTGCTAGAACCAAGTCTATTCCCACTAGTACCATCCAGTACTACCACTGCCCATAGCATGCCCAGAGAATCACAAGCTTTCTACACTGTAGAGGGTAAGAAACAATTTGTTCTTGGCCTGTGCTCCCTCTTGATTCAGAGATGAGCAGAACTAACGGAAGGTGGAGTAAGGAGAAGGAGGCTGGGTGCTGGTGTTTGAGTTATCCCATGCTGACTTTAGCAGAACAGCAAGTTCCAGGAAATCCTCATCTGAAGGCCAGGCCCAAGATGTTTTTTGTGATCTGACTTTCAGGAGAACTTGCTGATGTGGTCTCAGCTTGAACATCTGAAGTGGAGCTCTGCAAAATCCCTAGTCATTAGTTTTCCTCTCTGATTGAGGCAGGTGAAACCAGAGTCACCTGGGGCCCAATTATGCTCATGTCTAATTCTGTGACAGGTCATTGAGCATTGTGCCAAAATTATTTGCAGCCCTTTTCCCTTTCTCTCATTTTCTGTCTCACCTCCTTCCCTATCTCTCACTTCCCTCCCTCTTTTTCCTTCCTTCCCTCTCTCACTCACTCTCTCATTCTCTCTCTTACTCCCTCTCTGCCCCATTCTCCCTCCCTCCTGCCTTTCCCCCCCCCTCTCCTTTCTCTTCCCTCCCCTCTTTCTTACCCCATATTTCTCCCTCACATCCTTTTCTCTCCCTTGTCTGCTTGTCTCCCCTCTCCCCCAGGTCTCAGTCCCTCTCTTATCATAGACAATATTATCAGAACAAAAGGGCAACACCTTGGCTCGGGCTTGGGGGCTGCTGGGAGCAAGAGGAAGCTGCCATGTGCCTTCTTTCTTGATAGACGTGCCGCAACGTATCTCGTTCACCTTGGCTCCTCTGTGAACTTCCTCAGATAGGCTTAGTTGCTCTCCACAGCACAAAGAGCAGAGAGGAAGGTTTCAGTGCTGATGTCTTGTTTTGTTTGTACAGGAACCAACCTTCTTCCTAAAAGAATGTGTCTACATCCATGATCCACAAGGCCTGAATGTCCTGAAGAAGGGGTGTGCCAGGTACTGCAATCAAACCGTCACGGTGAGTGTGACAGAAGAGGACCACATGGCTTCTGAAAGGAGCTCAGCTTTGCTCTTACTTGTTCATGAAGAGGAGGTCTGACTCCTTGAGCTGAGAAGGGCTGGGTAGGAACAAAAGGAAAGCTGTTCCATGCAAAGGACTGTCCCCAGGACCATTACGTGAACTGACTACCTGCCTTTTCTTTGGCAAACAGGGAAAACACAGGGTACCAACCTGCTGCAGACATTAGAAAGCAGCACAGCTACACCTGAGTACAATAAACAGCATAAGCCCTGCCAGTTGTGACCAGCCAAGCTGGAGGAAGCCATGAGAGAAGTGGTGTGGTGTTAGCTGTGTCACAGTTTCTCTGAGAGTGCCCTGCTTTTAGCATTTCTTCCAGAGGAAGCTGAGCACAGGGAAAGTGCTGTGAGCTGTGAAGTGATTGCATCCTGTTTGTGAAACATTGTTGGATGGTTTGGGAAAGTCACTCTTAGCAAGTTTGTGGGCCTCATGTTCATCTGCAGCTCCTGAGCTCTCACAGTGCCAATTATATGGAATGATTTGTGGGTGTCTCATGAAATACTGCTGATTGTTTGTCTTGTGATTGTTTTTCCCTTGGTCAGTTGTGACAAGGCCTGTGAACCAGGACTGCTACATCCCTCCAAAGAAACGCAGTCCTCAGTAAAAATAAAGTAGGATTGATGGGCCAGCACTATTAAAGAACTAAAAGCTCATAGAAGACAGGGACCCTATTTGTTGAAGTCAGAAAACAGTGATTTATTCTGAGAAAAGCAGGCTGTGAGCAGAAAGAAGAGGTATTGCTGAAAAATCATTTAAGTGCAGGAGCTCCTAGAAATACAGATGCCAAATGAGCCCTCCATGGCAGACAGGAGGGCCAGGATTTCAGAATTCTGAGGGCAGGGTGAATTCAGGCAATTCTTGTTAAGTCATGTCATACCTTAACAGTTTGGCTTTTGTTTCAGAAACCTGGATGCTGCAAAGGATTCTTTGGTCCAGACTGCATGCCATGCCCAGGGGGATTTTCCAGTCCATGCTATGGCCGGGGAAATGTAAGTAGGAAAGATCCTGCTGTGTTGCATTGAGCAGTGGAAACAGCCTGGTTGAAGAGAACAGTTGTAGACAAGTCAGAGGTTGTGCTCCAGGGCTAAGACCACAGCAGTGGCAGCAGAAGATCCAGAGGAAATGGCACATGTTCAGTGGATTTTCTATCTTGAGCTCCAATGTGAATAATGTCATGCTGGGGACAGCTCTGGCTATGTGGGATTTTGTATTACTACCACCACTCTTCAAAGTCCTATTTTTAATGCAAGTATCAAAGTGCCTTTGATATATATCAACACCTTTGCTTTGCCTTGATTCCTTGAGTTTCAATTACTTTGATTTTCTTTTTGTGTTCCTTCCAGTGCAGGGATGGCATACAAGGGAATGGCAGCTGCCAGTGCTTTGAAGGTTTCAAAGGAATAGCCTGTCACATCTGCTCAAACCCAAACAAACACGGCGAGAACTGTGATGAAGGTTGGTAATTCTGGTAGAGAGACTAGGGGAAAAAACAGAGGGCAAAGATATAGTGCAGGTTCCTGCATCCTGGATTCCCTTCTGGTAAGAACATTGTGGAAGAAGTGATGGAAATGTCATCATGGGTTTCCCTTCAAACAACAGTGGAGAAAAAGTGGCTGATGTGGCAGTGGTTATGGGGGTCTTGGAAACATCAGACAAATTTAGGTGTGGGACTTTGATTTAGATCCCTCCAGCTAGGAAAGAAAAAACAATTCACAGGGACCTTGAGCTTGATAGCCCAAATTTGAGCCTGTCCTTACAGCCTTTAAAAAACATAGACCCAGAATCTGTTCCCTGGCCAAGTTTTGAGTTGTCATGGATATCTCTCAGCAGACTTCCCTTTGTCAAGAATAAATGGATGATCATTTGGTATCACAAGAGGTCGTGAAGGAAAGTTGGGAATTTTCAATGCCATCACTGTGTTCAATTATGGACTTTTTGTAGTTACTCATCTTACTCCCTGTACTTGACAGATTGCGGCTGTGTCCATGGTGTCTGTGACAACAGGCCTGGCAGTGGGGGTGTGTGTCAGTCCTGGTCCTGCAAGGAAGGCTATACTGGGAAATTCTGTGACAAGACATCCAGGAACTGTGGCCCAAGTGGGCTGTCCCAGTACTGCCACCAGAACGCTGTCTGCAGCCTCAATGACACAGCAAGGTCAGTCTCTCTGCTGTACACATTTAGGTGGGCACATTGTCACTGCAGCCACACAGTGTCTGTTTATACATGTCTGTGAACGTGGTGCACAGGATTCTTTGAGTAACCCAGCCAACCTGCTTGCTTGAGAGGCTAAAGCTGCCTTTTTTCTCTCTGCTGGCTTTCAGAATGGGCTGCTCTATCTGTGTCCCTTCTGTGCTTATACTTTTAAGGTGCATCTGCATGGATGGGTACGAAGGTGACGGGTTTTCCTGCCAGCCCATCGACCTGTGCAGTCAGCCAGAACGAGGAGGCTGTTCACAGAATGTAAGTGGGGTCAGGCTGTCGATGGAGAAGCAGTTCCTATCAATCAGAGCAGGAGTTCAGGAAACCTGGGGCTATTTCATATTGTGTGTGCTAATGTTTTCTACCTGTAGGATGGGGTGGAGTAACAGGTACCTTGACACAGTTGTCATAAGGATGTCAGTCATTTGGGTTGGTGCCTTATGAGTTGACTGGTTTGCACCAGATACTTTGGCAGCTACAGATACTAGCTGTACAGATGCTTTTTTGGTTTCTATTGACTTTCCTCTCAAGCTCTTTGAATGTGTGTTTCTCTATTGCTGTGTTCAGGCAGTAGCTTCACAGTGATCTCCAAATCTTATTTCTAGAAACCATCAATGCTGCATTGTTATCCTTTCAACACTACACTGTTATCCTTAGAAAAGAGCTGTGGTGCTTTATGATGGAAATGACTGGCAAATAGTTAGACCTCATCATAGTTTAGGCCCCTCAGGGAGAGGAATGCTTTGGGCCATATAAAAGGCAATAGAATGGCACTGGGTACAAAGTGAGTCTTTCCTGAGAGAGATCTGCCCTCCACATTGATTCCATCCTGCATGTCCATGCAGGAGATTGTGCTCCTCTTCCTCATGGAATATTTCTTCTGTAATGGAAGAGCTTTGTAGGATGGTAGGCAATGCTCTGGGAGTTCTGAGCTACCCTAGACACAAGTGTCTGCCTCTCTGAAAACACTAAACATTTCCAGAATCACTTTATGATGAGGTTGTTTACCCCTTTTCTGGGAAAGGTGCTTCCACCCCCCACCCCCAGTGCTGGAACCGGTCATTCAGAAACTGTCCGCAGTCTGATGAAGGAGATTTGATGTTGTATCTGCAACACACTCCCACTCTTCTTTTCTGCCAAGTGTAATTATTTTTCTCTCCCTTCTCCTGCAGGCCCTGTGCACCAGTACAGGCCCTGGCACTGCCACTTGCCAGTGCAACATGGGCTGGACAGGGGATGGGAAGGCCTGCGTGGCTGTGGACAACTGCATGCTGGAGAGCAGAGGGAACTGCCACATCAATGCCAACTGCCTTTATGTTGGCCCTGGCCAGGTATAATCCATGCTAAGCAGTTTGGTGGTAGACTTAACACTTCATCAGCTGCTCTGAGATGGCCTGGGATCACCAGAGGTAGGAACCAGGCTGGTCAGGAGCAAAGCCTGCTTGTCAGCTGCCAGAAAGACTGGCTGCAGCTAAAACCTCCCAGTGTGCTTGCATCAGTTGTTGTGTCCCCCTTGTTCCCAAATCACAGCATTGTCTCTGGGCAGTGTTAAAATATACAGAAAAGCATGCGCAGTCATTCAGAGAGTCCATGGAGGGAGCTGGGTTGGTAGTTGAACATCTTGAGATAGGAGGAAGGCAGGCAGAAGTGGCTTCTCTGGATGCTGCTTCTCAAAGTGCTTCTCCCCACTGAGCCAAAGGAGTGTTGGACAATGTGCTGAAAAGAGGTCCCAAATCTTTAGCCAGTTTTAGTGAGGTGAGATGTGCAAGTGCTCTCCTGGCTGTCTTGAAAGCAGAAAGCTTTGAAATGAATACCTCTTCTCTTTGTGCTATTCACTAAGTCTGTGTCATTCCCTGAAAAGCTAGAAATAAAGATGAAAGCTGTCAATTTCAAGTGACTCACAGCCAAGCAGTGCAAGAGATCAATGCACCTGAGTAATCAGGCAGTGTGTGTGCTGTGATAGAGGGTTGTGCCCTGCCAAGGAAATATCTCCACATTTTCAGGTCTTGAGGGACCAGGAAGAAAACTTGGAAAAATAAGTTAAGCATAGGTTTTGCAGCCTCAAGCCTTTTTTGGGTAGCAAATGAGGATGCTCTGATAGGTCTATAAAATTGAAATGTCTCTTTCTTGCAGAGCAAGTGTGTCTGCAAGAGGGGTTATGCTGGTGATGGCCACAACTGTGATGCAATCAACCCCTGCCTCATGGACAACGGTGGCTGCCATGATTTGGTGAGTAGCTGAAGTGCTGTCCCAAGGCTGGCATGGCAGTGGAGGTTACTCTGCTCCCTGACAGATGTTTTTCCAGCTGCAGCAGTGAGAGAATTGCAAGGATTTACTTCACATCATCTTATTGGCATGCCACTGAAATGTTACAAGATTTGGTCTCTGATTAATCCAGGTGGATCTTCTGATTTTCGTGAGATCACACAGCCAGAGCCATCATCTAGGCTTTGTTGCATGAGGTGTAAATTCAGTGCCACCATAAAAACAGCAGGAGGAAGGAGCTTCTGTGTGCATCTCTAGCCCAGTTCATGGGAGACCAGAATTCAGTTCCTAGATAGGAGTAACACTGCATAACCTGTGTTTGCTCTCTTATTTCTTCTTCCCTGGTATTTGCAGGCTACATGTTTACCCCTTGGAGGAGGAGAGAGATCCTGCACTTGTCCTCCAGGCTACATGGGGGATGGCATGACATGTTATGGGGACATTCTAAAAGTGAGTAAAAAATAAATACCTGAAGTCTTTCAGAGTTTGGAGAGAAATGGCTCTGCTCTTACTTTCCTTTTCCTTTACCTGAGTTGACTCCTTCTCTCAGCACCAGCCTGACAGCACAGCCTATGTGTCTGTCCAAGGCCACAGGACCAAACTGGTGCCAAGGCCAATGTGTTTGTGAAACTATTGGCAATAGTGTCTAAGTTGCTTTATCCCTGTCTGTCCTGTGTAGTAAGTCTGGAAACTTTTTCAGGTCAGAGCTGCTAGGCCCATTTTCTGTCATCAGAAATGTCAAAGGGCATTGTGGATTCAGTCTCTGTCCCTCGTAAACATGAGCAACTGCAGATGAGTTTGAAAGAGATTTTTTGTAATGGTTGGAGTGTGGTTTTAGAAGTTCCCATACCTTCTCATGATGCCGTGCCTGTAATGGTGGTAAGGTGGGAGAAGAATGTCTGAGTCTTTATTGCCAGATCTGATATTATAAAGGCCTCCTTTTCCCCCACCCTGAGTCCCACAGCCTGCAGCACCAGTGCTCAGCAGGGATAACCCTTCTGTTGTTTCTATTTGGAAGGAGCTGGCTGGGAATTACCATTTTGCAGGCTTCTACGACTGGGTCAAGGTAAGAACAGCCAAGGCCTGCATGGGTGAGTTTGCTGGGAGGGACATCTCTGTGAAAGCTGCTACTAGAGAAACAGCAGCTCCATATATTTTTTTAGTTAGAGAAAAACAAAACAACAGCAAAGGAGAAATCGTGGCAGAGCAGGCATGTAGAAAAGCTCTGGAGTTTGTGATAGAGTGAGGGTGGTAAGTGTGTTTTGATGGCCTTGTTTCTAGCACCAGAGGAAGCTGGGGCTGTTACACTTAATTCTCATGGTTGTATCATCTGTGACTCCTGGCCATCCTAAAGTAGCACAGAAGGGAAAAAAACGGGGTGCCATTATAATAGCTATTATTCAGAAGAGCATACTTTGAGAAGTTAGACTGTGTGTGTGTTCCTTTTCTTGTAGCTGCTTCCCTGTCTCTAGTGTGACAATAACAAAGACAGTCTGCAGATGGAAGCATGCTATGATATACAGCATCTAGCTGAGCTTTGGCTTACTAATCCTGCTGCTTACATTGCTTTTGCCAGGAATAATCTTGGTCCCTCCCCCAAAACTGATGTTGAGGGCCCAGAAAGGAGGTATGGATATAGTGTAGGTTTGAAGATTAATTGAAGTATGAATGTAGGACTTAGAGCAGCAGGTTTTCCCTTGTTAAACAGGTGTCAGCTGTTTTGGCTAAACCATCTGTGGCACTCAATTGGTTGGCAACAGCACTTACCTGGCATGTGCAGCAGAGCCTGCTGTGCTCTGGAGTGTACACTCACCTCTACACATCCCTCTCATGACTGTGGGATTGGGATATTGATGCTGTTGGTTGTATTTTGTTATAAAGATGTGGCACTGGCATGTCTTATTTGTTCATTTTTTTGCTTTGGACAACAGAAATCTCTCTTCAGCATCCCAGCAGG